GATTGGGAGAATATCCACAATTAAGATGAATGTATTGCCTAGAATCTTATACTTATTCCAGACAATTCCAATCAGATTGGGGAAAGAATTTTTTGAAGATTTAAACAAAATGGTGCTAAAATACAGTACAGAATAAAACTTAAATTGCTACAAGATGCAAGAATAAGAGGAGGATTTGCTTTGCCCAATTGGGAATTATACTACCAAGCGACGAGTCTGATGTGGGTAAAGGAGTGGATAACACTAAGGAATATAAGACTTTTGAATTTAGAAGGACATGACCTGCTGTTAGGGTGGCATGCCTTCCTCTGGTATAAGGGAACTAAAATGCAGGGGTATTTTAGAAGAGATTAAATTCGAGAAGCATTGTTTCTAAACTGGGAGCAGATAAAAAAGCAATATTATTTAAAAAATTCACAATGGTCATCTACTATTGAAGCTTTTTCCTATCCAATAATATATAAAAAGGAAGAAACAGTTAGATATGGGGAGATATTGAATGAAAAGGGTGAACTGAAATCTATGCAAGCGTTGGAAGAACAAGGTGTAAAAATGAATTGGTTTTCATATTTGCAAATACAATCTAGATTTGACAAAGTTGTTAAAACACAAGGTATCTATGATAAGTTGACTGATTTAGATAAAATTTTGACAGGTACTGGTGAAAAAGTAATCAAAAAATTTTATGGACATTTGCGAGAGTTTAAATTAGAGGAAGAACAAGTAAAAGAAATAATGATTGCGTAGGGGAAAAATTTCGGATATGGGATAAATGGCAAAAATTGTGGTCTCAAAATTATAAAATGACAATGTCAACTGCATATAAAGAAAATTTGTATAAGATGTTTTACAGGGGGTACTTACCTCCGACGAGGATTGCAAGGATGTTCAAGAATAAATTGGATAAATGTTGGAAATATCATCAGATACCTGGTTCATATTACCACATGTGGTGGACATGCTCGGATGCAAAAAGATCCCAGATATCCACACATGGTTGGAAAAAATGACAAAACAGCACACAGACTTTAAACCTGAGATATTTTTATTGGGAATTATACCGGAAATATATTGTAAAGAATTGAAATATTTGATTGTCAATATTTTAACAGCGGCTAGAGTTGTATTTGCTAAGAATTGGAAAAATGAAAAAATACCTATGCAGGAGGAAATTATTAAGAAAATCATGGACTGTGCTGAAATGAGTAAATTGACATTTGAAATTAGAGAACAAGAGGATAAACAATTTTATATGATGTGGGATTTATTTTATGAATAGTTAGATAAAAAGACATGGTAAAGAAATAGATTAGTAAGCCTTACAATAAAAGCCAACAGATTGATATAGAATACAGTATAAAATATATAACCATTGGATGAATGTATAAGATTAAATCATAATGAAAATTAGAATATCTTATATAAAATGATGGAAAAATAGTCAAATGAATGTTTAATAATTGATATTATATAAGCATAAGCTAGATCGATAAGGTGAGAATTTATATAACTTGTGAGTAATGGTAAAAACAGGTTAGCACAAAAGATTGTAACCAACTGACACACTGTATGTATGTAATTGAAAGAGGGTTTTAAGTTTTTATGTTTTGTTCGTATGTTTGTTGTAAAAAATAAAAATTTTGTTTTAAAAAAAGGAACAAAATAGAAATTTTTTAAAAAAAGAGTGGAAAAGGGAGACTCTACATGATGAGGTATATTTGTAGTAAAACATATATAATAGATTTTGAGGAGATGGGATTAAGAATTAGAATAAGAAGGAATTATTTAAATGTACTAGATATGAAAATAAGAACTTATAATGGATTAATTAAGATAGACAAATGCTTATGTAAGATCTAAATGATTAGGGGATAAAATATGAAAAGAAATGTTTTGTGGAGCCTGACAGAGAATAGATATAACCATGTAGTAGTATAATATTTTAAAGAATTATATATGTGCTGTCCAGCCAGTGTATGGGAATTGGATAGTTAGGTAGCAATTGTGAGCTGTCCCCTTAAGGGAATGCATCATGGTAAATGTAGTTAAAGGTATCCTGGGAAATGTAGTCCATATCACATGACCACATCTGTAATCCTGATTGGTCACTAAATTGACCCTCGATGGGTTGGGGGAATTTTCCTCACTTTTCCCTGAACTCCCTAACTCATGGCAGTTGCTTTCTATGGCTAGGAGATGGGTTAGGAGATAACCATCTTTTATTACAAGGCAGATATGCAAAAGATTGGTCATTAAAGAAGAACTTCGTCACAAATGTGATTTATGAGGATACCTAATGAACCAATAAACATACTTTGTTATGGACGTCTTTTTGAGTTTATCTATCTGCATCTGCACAGCTTAAAAATCCACTACTGTGCAGAAGACAGAAAAATATATTTTATTATATACATACATACATACATACATACATACATACATACATACA